TGTCCTGTCCAGATAGCGCACACTAGTGTCCTAGCACAAGCGTCGATCGCTCGACACCGAGCTCACAACGCTGCAAGCGTCGTTGGCAACGACCAAGGCGACGCTGCATACGGTCAACGACAAGCTCACGGACGTGAGCCAGCTCACTGGTCTCCGCGCCGCACTGACCACCCTCCGCGCCGACATCCACAGCATGGAGCTCACTATGCAGCTCCAGCAGCGCACGCTCTTGGAGGCGCAAACCAACGCACAGACGCGGCAGCGAAGACACCATACCATCTCGTATTAAGGCGACGCAAATCCAAATGGATCGTGCGACTTGGTCGCCACTTGCTTGGCTTCGAGCTGCTCGAGCGCCGCCGACGTGCTGCGAATGAGCGCGCGCTCGTCGTCAATCAGTTGCTGGAGCGACGCGGCAACGACCGGATCCGGGCCCTTCTTGCGCTCGTTGCGCGTCATCGTCAGCTGCACAAGCTCGGCCACGAGGGCTTGGATGCGGACGACCAGGCTCAACAGCGCTTGTTGCTGGGACAGCGCTGCCACGTTGGCATGCAGCGCGTGGTTCGATGCGTCCAGAGCCGACGCGCTGGCCAAGGCCGAGGCCGAGACGCCAGCGGGCGCATGCGTCGTGGACGAAGCGGGGTTCGAAGTCGATGCCGATGTCGAGAGTGAGAGCCCGCTAAATTGATCGTCCAGATTCGGACTGGAAAAGCCAGTGTCCACCGGCACCGACGCGCGGCGTGGCGGCTCAGCGACGATCGACAGTTGCCGGGTCGGCGGCGCCGACTGCGGCGAGCCAAAGTCGCCAAAGGTGTTGCTGGGTGCTGGGAACGCGGCAAACGTACTTGCGGTCGGCGTCGTGTCGGGCGTCGGCGACGGGAACCCAAACGAGGACGATGGGACCTTGTCAAAGGCACAAAAGCCCGCATCCATCGAGGGGCCGTCCGGAGTTGGCGCATTTGTAGGCACAGCGTTGAAATCGCTAAAGTCGGGCAGCTTGGAGCTACTGCCAAAGTGGGAAGGCGCCTCGGTAGTTGGCCGAGAACTGCTACCAAAGCCTGCAAGGGGCGAGTCGCTCGAGGCCATACCCAAACCAGCGTTGCTGCCAAAGTGCGACGCCGAGGTGACGGACGACGCAGACGGAGCTGGCGACGGCGGAGGGTGTGCGCTGTTGCCAAAGCTGTCGCCAAAGTGGCCATTTACGTTGCTGCCAGAGTTGCTACCAAAGGCTGTTGGTGCCGGCATCGCACCACCAAACCCGGCGGATACCCCAGAGTTGCTACCAAATCCCGACGGGTTCGAGGTCACCG